ATGCATAGGAATGGAAGACTGTCACGTAACTCATTCCCTTCGGACAATAACAAAAACAATTCATATTCACATCAAAGTTAAAAATCGGATCCTTCAACGAAGAAATGAACTTCTGCAAAAACAAACAAAACTTGTTTCCTTTGGGAACAGTCACAAACACATGTTTCTTTCTTCTCAACTGCCACTCAATCACATTACAACATAGCAACCAAATAGAAGCTCTGTTCTGTTTGGGAGAAGGGTTGTTGATCACTATACAGTGGGGCTGCAATCTCTCCAGTTGCTGCCAAATACCATCTTGACCCTTCATAGTGGAAAAGTTGTATCCTGCCTTGAAATCCATAGGAGATGCAACTTTAACACCATTCCTTGAAAGGAACCAAGATAATCCACTGTTTCCATGAAGTAACTCAACAACATCAGGATGATCATCATTACAGAAGAAAAAGGACTGTTCTCCGAATTCGGCATCAACATACAGTTCGTGATCTTCACGCAAGTTCTCCGGATTCTCATCGTCTAATGCCGGTATGGAAACATCATGCCACTCATCGTGATCGCGTCTAACCTTTGACTGATTCACACGTATCACTGCCTTACCAGTATTGGCTTGGACCATAGCTCCTTCTTGTCCAAGTACTGTGGCACGAACCCAACGTCCTTTATCCTTGAACTTTGATGAATCCTGAGTCCAAACAAAAACCTTCTCTCCTTGGAAATAAGGACCGTCACTTGGCATAGTCCTTCTCGCAAGATCTGCTCGAAGGTCCTGAGCTTGTCGTGCTTCTTGATGAGCTCTCAAAGCCACACGTTGTAGTTCCAAATTTGTACGGTCTTGTGCGGCGGCATTAGCTGACAATTGCTCAGGGCTTGCGGTCTCAAGGTCAAAAAGATCTGGTGGACGTCTTCCAGTTGCTATCTCTATTGGTGAATATCCACTGATAGTCAACTGACAATTTCTTGCCCAAACTACCTTCTTGACCACTTCTCTGACCGTAACACCACGAAAACGTGGGTCATCCAGATCTACCTTCATAACATGCCACATACGTTTGAACAAACGTACAGCTGTCTCTGCTCGGTTCGGCCAAGGAGTTCTTGGCCCACAAGGACATTGTTGTATACCATGGAACCTGTAGTATTCAACAAAAGCATCGGTGAAAAAGGCTTCGTCTCCTACGATGGCCTTTGGAACACAGTTGTTCTCATCAGACCATTGCCTCAATGCTTGGATGGTGGTTTGATCTATGAGGTCTTTCTGTGCCGTAGCCCAGAGAAGATTTGTGGCACCATCAAGAACAAGTAAGATGATATACTTGTTCTTGTGAAGTTCAACCTCACAATGATCAGCAAAAACAACATCACCGAAACATGAAGCTCTAATACCGGAGACTCTGGCTCGTGGCGGAGGTGCCACTGAAGTGTTACAAACACGGCAATTCCTGACAACTGATTCATACTTCTCTACAACAGAGTCAGGAAGCTTCAACATAGAAACACGTCTACGAAACTGAGTAGGACTCATATGGTAGTGCTTCACATGAAGCTTATAAAGCTCTACCTTGTCCTCCAGTCTCTGTAACATCTTCCTATACGCCGGTGTCATTGCAACAACTTCACTACCAGGTAATGGGATTGAAATCCGCCTAGGCTCAAGAGCGCCATCACCTGGTTCAAGTGGTTCATGTTTATCACTTGATTGTCCTTTTGATGCTTTAGGAATTTCTACAAGCTCACCTTCTGGCCTCTCAGGTGGTTCTGAGGGAGCATACTCCTCAAGATCATCACCCTTTAAATCATTCTGAGGCTCAGATGGTTTCGACTTGTGTCCCTTCCAAAATGGATCAAAACCCTTGGAAGTATACCGAAACTTTGGCGGCACGGGCTTTTCCGCGGCACTTGATGGTGCACCTTCCTTCTCTGACGAGAAGCCTGGTTCCCTGTCCTTTGCAATGGGAACCTTCTCTGAGGAGGAGCGCACCACTGCATCGGGATCACCAATGCCACGGTGCTCAATGCCAGCCTTCCTGATCTTTAGATCTGGAATTTTGGCATCTGGCTTGAACTTAAAAATTGTTCTACCACGCCATTCATAGCCAATTTGTAGGTCCTTCCATTTTGCCTTGCGCCAATCATCTAGCTTCTTGATTTCTTCTCCTCCTTTCTTCTTCTTGATGATTGTCAGTCGCAAGTCTTCCAGTAAGTCAGTGTCTACAGGACAGGACTTAGTTGCTGGAAAAAGAATCTTTCTATAATCCTTGTGGTGACGTATCAGTTCTCTCTTGTGAACATCTACTTCCCAGTAGTCAACCACAGGATATGCATGTTCAGCTACATCTTCATCACTATTGTGATCAACAGAAATATGACCATATTCATAGTGAGTGAAGTGAGAGTAAAAACTCTTCTCGCGCCGAGTCTGCAAATTCACGTCAGACAGATACCATGCAATATCTTGGAAGTCCAAGACAAGATGAGTACTGGCTGCAACCTTCAACTCCAAATATTTGATACCAAGAGGCACCGATGTCAGATAAGCATGTTGAGGTGTCAGCCTGAGTTCAAAGCCTAAGTTCCTCATCTGTGGCAAGCTCATAAGCAAAGGGACTTCTCCTTCTTCCACTATGTCGAACTCTGTATGGTGGATCGTCCATGCACGATCATACATGTAAATCACCAGTTTCTGAGAGCAAGTAGCCTTCTGGGAATTGGTAAAGTAAAACTTGCTCTTGGTAGACTCAAAAGAGTACCATAATCCACAATCTGGGTGATTTTCGACATAGTTGCAAAAATGGTCGACTGCTCGCCTTGATCCCATAGCTCTAGTGCATCCAATGTCCAGGATTGCAATAGTCGGCGGGAAGCGATTCTCAGTCAAAAATGAAATGGCCTGCATCTCCTTCACTTCTTCCTCAGCGCTCATAAGCGCAAAGCCATCAGGAGCATTTGTGAGCATCTCCTTTGACAAAGAGTACCTCACAGGGGCACTCATGCCATTGAAGATCGTCTCACCATTGTTGACCGCGCAGTCAGCTTCATCTTGACATGAGGTCATCATGCCTGACAGCAAGTCCACCTCACTGTCATGGACTTCAGCTGCTGCTGTCACACAATGTGCAAAGAAACCTTGTTGACCTCCTGATGCTTGTGAAGATCTTGAAGGTGCAGGCAAAGAACGTGGCTGTTGTTGATTTGCATAGTTTGCATCTTGTTTGCCATCTCCTTTATCTTTTCCTTTTCCTTTCTTGCCTTTTCTCTTGCCTTTTCCTTTTCCTTTGTGGGAAAACCATGCTTCTTCAAGCTGTTGCCAAAAGTCATTGGCATCATCATATTCTCCTTGAAGATAGTCATTCATATCTTCGGCAAGAATGGCATCATATGCTACTTGGTTTGACTCCCAAGTGTCCTCATAAGGATTCTCTTCAAAGTACTCATCTGGATAAGTTGTCTGTTGCTCATCAGCAAAATGGCCTTTACCTCGTCTCTTTCCTTTTCCTTTTCCACGAGGTCTGAAAAATCTGCGGCCTGATCTTCCTTTACCTTTTCCTTTTCTTCTTCCTTTTCCTTTGCCTTTTCTGGCTCTTCTTCCTTGGAATCTCCTTTGGAACCACGAGAAGTTTTGATCATCATATACCCAAAAGACATCGTCCAGGGCATCTAAAAATCCTTCTGTTCCATCTTCTTCATCTTCAGCCCAATAGCCAAATGTACCATCGAGTTCTCCTTCGTCTAGTACGAGAAATGATCTTCTACCTCCAGCACCTGTCGGCTGCATCAAAGGATTGTCTACTGAAGTCTTTGTCGTGCAGAACATCTCGATGAACACTGTCCTCAACTCTGTTGTAGTGTATTGCTGCAGGACCCTGCCACGATGAGTCATCAAGGAAGTCAAAGTGTTTCGCTGGTCCTGAGACAAATCTGCAAGTGACAGCATGAGTAAGGCAATGAGATTTTCTCCTAGAGGAAATTCGTTCTGATGAAAAGTCCTCATATTGCCATTGATGGTCTGCATGATTTCCTGAATCCTTTCTGCCGTTGGTGCTACTCCAGTCAACGCTGCATCTGCCTGCATCTGAGCTAGGACCTGTGGATGTGCTTGAGTGACTGGTTCTAACATGTCCATCCAACTGCTCATAAGCCTTTGGAGTAAAATCTGGAATCTTGTCATCCATTTCATCATGTCAGCTGATCCTCGATTGAAGCGCACAAATTGCATAAATCTATACAGGAATACATTGGTTGATCCTTTCACGAAATATGGTCGTAGTACTCGTTTGAAATATTCTACGCCGGCTCCTGGTGGATCATTTGCCTTCAATGCATCTCTGTCTAAAACACGCTTGTATACAGCTGCTTCTCCTTCTACTCTGTTTCTCAATGCTGGTCCTCTCTTCTCATCTTCCAGCTCGGTGATATCACACCAATCGTCTATGGCATCCTCATAGGAAAACCATGAAGTCTTTCCATCATAAGATGGGGGCACCTTTGTAGTGACCTGTGTTGTCGTTGCTATTGCTGCTGGTTCTCTTCTCACATGCCTATTCACGTAGCCATTTTGGCTCAAGGCTCCGCTACCACTGAAAGAGTGACTAGGGCGTACACGGTAGAGGTGCAGACCGCTAGTGTCTTTTATGCGCAGAGTCTTATCCTCTTGCTCTTTGAGCCTTGAGGCAGTCAAGCATGGACACACTATATCAGCTGTTGGAGTGGAACCCTGTACAGGTAGGCTCTACTTTTCAGGGGGGGGCCCCCCTACACGTGAAGTTTTCACGTGATTCATGATTCTCGAGGCTGCGAGCCCTTGACTTGCTAAAGCAAGAGCAACTCCAGCTAGCTGATGCTAGCTTTCGTGATAAGTAGTAGCAAATCTACACTCTATTTGTCTTTAGATATCCTTGGAATGGCTATAAATCATGTCCGATTCGCCCAGTGGCGTGCAAATGGTGTTGATGACCTCAAGGAGGCCACCTGAGCCTGGATGGTTCGGCAGTGTCGGTGGTTACAACACAAAGAAAAGAATCAACAAGAATTTGACAATAGCTTCTTGTTCCTAGTGGCAAAGCCAGGAGCCCCTAGTAGCGTCCTTCTCCTAGTAGCGATGCCAGGAGCCCCTAGTAGCTTCTTGTTGCTAGTAGTAATGCCATTTGCTACTAGTAGCTTCTTGTTACTTACTAAAGGGTCCAAATCACTTGACTGCCATTTCTGCTGAGAAGAATGCTCCTATTTACCATTATCAAAGCTAAAGGGGACCGAGGCAACTTGCAAACAAACGCAACATATTTGGAACTTCGCCGAATGTCTGTCCCAGAGGGTCCATTAGCCCAATGACTGTAGGTGCGAACCGAAAGGCCAGGAGCAGAAAAAACGTTCACGCTCCACGGACCCTGAACACAAGAAAGCCTGCCTGCCAGAATTTGGCGGCTGCTTTATAGAAAAGTCATCCGCGCACCGTCTTATTCCCACATGCATTCTTCCTCATCTTGCCGTGTTTTGATCAGCACTGGATGGAATGAAAGGACTGCTTGACCATAAGCACTGGAGCAAGACAATGGCTTTCACCACTGTGCTGAAAGTATTTGCCGAGACCAACTCCCTAGAAATGAAACTCCGAAAGATGGGTCTGGGAAGTGTCTGAAGTCTGGAGACTTCCCAGGCTTTGCTCTTGAAGTTCTTGCAGCATCTTGTGGCTAGGTGTGCAAATACGACGAACTTCAGTGTTGGCCAAAGCCAACGTGCAGCAAAGCCTGGGATTTTGCATTTGCTGACAAGACAACACGCAAATTGTATAAATTGGCCGTGAGCTAAGTTTCGCAGCGATGTTGTGGTCTTCATTTGGGTAGCTGGCCGCAAGTCTTAGCATCGACTTCACCATGCCAAAACCTGCGAGAGAAATGCCTCATCGCAAGCCCACTAGAAAGGCTGTTTCAGCCAAACATTCGTGTGCCTAGGTTGAGACGGAGATCTGTACATGCAAAAAAGTCGCAAAACAGTCTGGGTGTCAGTGTCGGTCTGAGATCCTTTGAGCCTTCAGCAAACGCTGTACAACCGACAAAGGCAAACAGCAAAACTGGCAAAACACGAATTGCACACAAGGGTGGAGCTTCAGGGCGACAAATGCCTGGTGCCCGTCCTTGGGTGGCAGCGGGAACCTGTTGAAGAAGATTTCGGCCATTCCCACGGTGTTCTTGTATGTTGTTGTGAATTGATTGTATTCAGCAGGTGCCCAAGGCGTTGTGCTAGAGCCACTTGCGTTGTCGGATCAGTCCGACTCAGGCTGCTCCGACTGCACAAATCGCACCACTTCACGCGTAGGTTGGCCCAACCATGGCCTGACCATGTACCAGGCCTAGCAGATGTGACAAGTGGGCAATCTAATTACAAAAAAACGGCAAGGGTTGCTGTTCAGTTTGCCCTGTTGATGGCTTCGATGGAAAGCCGAATGATCCAAAATTCATCCAGTTACATAACTATCAACATAACTTTCAGCTGCCCCGTTGGATGAAGGGACTAGGCGAGGCCAGCGGCCAGACTATGCCTACTATGGAATGAGCGAATCTGCAAGTGCACTGAGGTTGTCGAAGGACGCCGCTTTTGGCGCCTTGGGGATTTGAATGTGAGCATGTGCTACCGTGTGTGAGCCACCATCCGGTCACCCTCTGCCGGATTCGTTCGATCCGTTTGCATATAGGGTGCGCTCCGGATTGGGGTGTTGGATGGTCAGCCTGTTGCAGGGCCAGTGGTGACCTGCAACATCCTGTCACAGCCCTGCTTTGAAAAAAACATATTGACATTTTTTTTACACGATTCTTTTCCGCGCCAATGCGTGCTAAAAGAGTTGGCGGATGTCTTGGGAACCGCCTGGACAAGGGTCCTTGAGCTTCTTGCTCACGGAAATCTGTCCTTCAACGAACCGACCTCTGGCATGGCATTTGAGGCATTCTGCCATCATGCCTTGTCGCTGCATTCGGTGCGACTTGTGACCTGCCCAGTCGGAAAAGGGAGAGTGGTCCAAAGTGGCAAACTTCTCCCACAAAAGCTTCAAAAGCGGACTCATTCGTCCTTGCAAGAACATAGGAACGGCACTTTGTACACCGTAGGTACGCACGGTCAAGCCTCAAAAAGTGGATGCCGTCCTGTGGTTCTTCCTGAGCGTCAATGAGTTGCTGTATCACCGTCATTCTCGGAGCCTTGGGTGCCTTGAAGATCACCGGCTCCGTGCAAGCCTTGGCCATGGCCTGCTTGATCTCCTGGAGAAGGCTTTTCACGTGGATCTTGGTCCTGCACTGGGAGCATTGCGCTCCGCTTCTGTGAGGCTCCCACTGGTGTCCTTGATGCTCCCTGTTCTGAAGCACATGTGCTACGAGGTCCCGTTTTTGCTTGACAAGTCCTGAGGATCGACTTCCGTCTTCTTCTTCAAGAAATGGTTGGGATCCTTGAGGAGAATGTCCATCCGCTCAGCAGCAACCAACAGGATGTCACCAAGGTCCTCATCAGTGGCCTTCTGGTAGGCTAAGAAATCTTTTGGGACTTCTTCTCGTGCCCTCTGTTGGGCCATGGCCTTGATGGACCTTTGAAGGGCCTTCCGAGTTCTCATGCCTTCTTCTTGTTGGAGGTGACTCATGAAAAGGAGTGGCCTCAACGTGTCAAAATCCTCAAATTCCAGGCCTTGATACAAGTCAGGGAACTTCTCGAAGGCAGCATGTGGCGTCCACGCTTTCCACAATTGCAGACTGGAGACCCCGACGTGCGCCTGATCGAGGATGTGAAGAGCCAAATGCTTGGTGGCATAGAAAAGAGCCCTCAATTTAGTGGCTTCCCCAGGACAAAGGCCAGTGATCGAAGCCACACACTCTTTGGTCGCAATCTCAAAGATGCCAATGGCAAAGGTGTATTGTTGGTGCCTTTTGTCCGCACAGGTGAGGGCTACATCGAGGCAGCAAGCATGACCATGATTGACTCTGCAAGGATGAAGATCTTGCCATTTACCTGTGCCAATGAAGGTAGAGGGTCCTCCATGTCGTTCCAGGAAGGCCTTTTGGCAGAGACCGCGGTTCCAAAGCTCGGGCTCAGAGTTTGTGGTGATGCGGTCTTTCCACTCATCAGGGATGTCTTTGACCTTGCCTTCCCAAAAGCTGCACTCCCAAAGAAGATGAACAAAGGTCAGCTCCGTTCCGCACAAGGGGCAGTTTCCGTGAACCCCATGAAGAGTTCCTTGATGGAAAGCTCTCAAACCAATGGCCATCTTGTCGCTTGTTTCTTTCTGCAACTTCAAGCTGATGGTCCAATCCAATGGTTGTTCGAGGTGTTCACAACCGTTGTACTTGGTGATGCGAATGAGGCGTTGCCAACGAAATTCCTCCTGGAGCTTCATGGACAACTCGGGCCACATCATATCCAAAGAAATGTTGCAGTCCGGGATGGCTCCAAACCCCGGTCTGCTCCAGTTGTTGCCGTCTTGCAGGTTGAAGCCATAGTCCAAGAGATATGCTTGCAGAGCCTGAAGAGGTCCTTTTACCACCTGCCATTTGTACTTGGCTTGCTGGAGTGTGGCGAGCGAGAGGTTCCAGCTGGACTTGAAGAGGTGCTGCTTAGATTCGTCAAAGCTATGATAGATCTTCCAGATCGTGTGTACATGCTGCGCAACAATGGAGTCTCCTGGATCAGGATGTTTTTGATTCATGTCATAGACAATGTCAACAGAGCCTGATTTCTGTAGCCGGAGTCCTCTGGCAGCAATGACTCTGATGTGCTGTCTTCTTTGTGGAGCGAGTCCTTGGGCTTGAGCTCCCCATGTCATGACTGGATGAATAGCTCCTCGATGCAATCGATACCTGATCTGCGGGTTGAGCTTCAATCTGTGAACTATTCCAGTCCTTGCTCTGCCTTTGTTGAAGCGTTTCTTGACCATGGCAACTCTTCTGCGTTTGCTTGCCGTTGCCTCGATGCCAAGATCTCTGAAAACATCATGAAGCTCAGGATCTCCGGGGCCAAGGATTTCTTTCAGAGCTGTCGCAGCTTCTTTGGAACTCGTGAGGAAACCAGTTTTGTCCGTGTTGAGCCGAAGTCCTGCTTGAGTTAGATGATGCTGCAAGGATCTGAAAGCTTGAACAGCTTCAGTGGCGACGTAGATGGGGTCATGACCACGGACATCATAGGAGACATCATCAACCCATGTTTGCAGAAGAACGGCCAGGTGGTCTTTGACCAGATCCTTGAGTGGCTTGTAGAGCACCAGCTTTGCAATGGCGGGTGCTTGAGGGCACCCTTGCAGGATTCCTTTTTGGTAGTGCTGTGGATTGCTGGTGATGCCCTCGGCTTGAATGATGCGCGGACCACGGTAAAGGTCGATGGCCAGCTTCAAGTGGAGAAGAGGATATTCAAGTTCTCTCGCTGGGGCGATGAGATTGTCCAGGGTGACAGTGTCATAAAAGCAACTGAGGTCTGCTAAGCAAGTGACGGTGTGGATATTGTTGTGTTTGCCCAGCTCGCTTTGAAGCATCCTCCCGACTGCAATGGAGAGGCAATCCTTCTTAGGACGTGCATGGTCCCAGGGCATGATGGAGTCGAGAGACAGCTGCCACTTGACAATGTCCTGTTTCCTGACCCGATTCCATAGCCTGTAAAGACATGAAGTCAAAGCAATGGGCCTCTCCACTTTGGGGTTCTTTGGGATCATGACAATGCTGACCATGCGCAATTGAGTGGGCAAAAGCGCTTCCTGCTCCATGATGTTCAGCAGTTTGGCGAGTTGAGTGACAGCTTCAAAAGGGAGCTGCTTGAGGAAGTCATAAGAGATCCCATCTGGACCTGAGGCTTTGTTGGGCAATTTCTTGATGACTCGTTGGAGACTGATGGGGTTGATGGCTTGCATGTCCCTAGCCTGTGCAATGGCATCTTCACGGAGTTCTCGGAAACCTCGAATGACACAGGGCTCATCAACAGGTTGCCAAATACTGCCCCATTGCTCCAACCTTGCTTGTAGGCGTTCCCAGAGAGGAAGGTCCTGGAAGGGCCTCTGCCAAGGGATGTCCTTCTGTCTCAGGGATCTGAAGAGCCCACGTAGACCTTTGGAATGAGCATTCTGTAGCCATATCTTGTACTCTTCGGTGTTGGCCAGCGCTACTCCGACATGAGCTTGATGTTCTTGGGAGAGGACAAGGTTCTGCAAATGCTGTGGATCCTCATGAGTGTTCTCCAGCCACGTCTTGATAAGGTCCAGGAACTCATCTTGGTCGAGATCCTCAGAGCTGTAATCCTGAACACTATTGAGCATGGTCAGGAGGTCCTTTTTGACCCCTTCATGAGGAGCATGATGCAAGACGTTGATACGAACCGCCATTTTCTCCCAGAAAGCGGGTCTGCCTTTCTTCCACAGTTGAACCTGATGGGGTCCTTGAAGTGGGGCAGTGAAGAGATCAACACGTGAGCCTCTTCCCAATCTCGGCTGTTGCAGCTGTTGTGTGAGATAGAGCTCGGACTGGGTACACCATCTGGCAAGATCTGAGCCCAACCCGGTGATCTGGTAGTTCAGGATGTGGAAGGGTCCATTTTGCTCAGGGAAATCGGTCCAAGGAATCTCAGCCGAGAGAGCTCTTCCAATGGGTGGAAAGGTCCGCAACTGCTGAACTGGAATGGCTTGGTTCTGACAGGTGAGCTTGACACTGAGGGCGCAATGAGGTCTCCACGGAACATCCCAAACGTTCTCAAGAGAAATTGCCCCAGCCAACTCATTTGAAACCAGAACAAAGTCCTGTAAGGTGGTGGGACCTTCTGATGCTCTGATGTGGGCCTTGAACTTGCTCTGAATGACCGTGGCTGCCAGTTCTGAAGGGGGATTCTGCCAGTCTCCTCCGATGATGAATGGAGCCTTGAGGTTGTCCAGGAACCCAAAAAGATTGGCCAAAATCTCCGCATTGGTGGCAGATTGAAGGCTTTCACCTGTCTTGAGATAAAGCTGAATGATGGAGATGTGCATGTCCTCACGCTGTAGGCCTACAGCCATCCATCCATTGCCTTCCAGATCAAAGTGCTGAAGATCATGAACATGATGATGAGGTGGATGGAGACATAAGAACCCGCCAGTGGTTCCCCCTCTGTCCGTGTTAACAGCAGGGACTGCGATGCCCTTCCAGCCTCTGACGATGAAGTACTGGAGGACCTCGTTGGACTTGTGCTGATTGAGGTGAGTTTCCTGGAGGAAGAGGAGGTGATCCGCTTTGGACCAGACCCAATCTTGCACCTTCTTCCCAAAGGTGGTAACATTGGCAAAGCACAGGTTGATCTCATCATAGTGCGTCTTCTGTTTCTTGGGCGGAGGGCTCTCCTCAGCAACATAGTCGATCTGCATCTCATCATTGGGATCAAGGATGAGCCAGAGTTGGATGACTTCTTTCCCATGTTGCTCCGTCAAGTCACTGAGAGGTTTTGGGAAGCAATTGTCATCCACCAACCAGTATGCATTGTCAACAGCATGAATGGCCATGTAGTGTCCACTGTCATGCGTTTCCCCTTGATGCATCACCATTGCCAGGACGCGATAATAGGCCTTGGCGACCGCAATGCCATCATTGGAGTAGGGAAGGAAGACTTCGGTGGGGATGTCGAGCTCCCTGTGATGTTTCGTCCATTGCTGCTGGACGAGTTCAAATCTCTGAAGATGAAGGACGATGCAGTCAGGCTGACCATACAGATACTGACCATTGGCTTCATCTGCCCATGCGTTGAGCAGGGTTTGAAGCTCAACTTTGTGGTTCCCAGGAGGGAAGATGATGTTGAGTGGGACTTGTTCTCTTTCTTCAAGGATGCCATTGGTTCTGACATGAAAGAACTTGCTTCCGATGGCAATTGGCTTCGCGATCGACCACATGTGTCCCACAAAGTCTCCGACGTCAGCTTGGACAGCGTGATCAAAGTGAGTCCAAATGTCATGGAGCTCCGGGATTTCAGTCAGCGAGGAAGACTGAGAGGAGCCAAGGAAAGTCCTGAAGGCTTGATGTAGGCTTCCCCACATCATAGATGGATCCGCAACGAAGCTGCTGACCCAGGCCCAACATCGAAAGGCCGCATTGCTGAAGCAAAGGTTGCTCGAATTGCTGGATATCGAGGTGAGATTCTGGGCAATTAAGCCAGTGTTCCCTCGGATGTGTGGGAGATCGCCTTGAAGACCCAGTTGTCGATGCACCAAGTGTTCCAACCTTTGAAGGTCTGAAAGAAGCTGCTGCCCAGAGTCATTGTTGGGCTGGTAGAAGAATTGGTTGCACGAGTTCATGAGGTCCTGTTGAGTGAGCTCAAAGAGTTGGCTCTGTGGTTCTGTAATCTGAAGATCTTCATCCTTCGCCAGGATGTCCATGAAGGCTCTAGCAAGAGAATGACTGCAGGAGGTCCCGTTGCCAGCAGGATTCCGAAGAATCTGCTCCGAGGAAGGAGAACACGGTGCCTCCGCTGTCACTTCTTGCGAGCTCAAAACTGCTCCGCCAAAAACTTTTGGTGTCCTCAAGGGACCATAGCTCGGCGGTGAAAGGTTCGTGTGGCCCTGATTTGAGCCAATCGCTCTGTCAACTGGATTGACAAACTCCCTGCAATCAAGTTGACTGAAACCCACATCAATTGCCGAAGAAGAAGACAATTGACAAAACCCCAAATTCGCAACAGGGATTTGAGAACCTCCTAGGAGGAAGGAGGGAAGGTTACCCACCCTGCTCTCCGTTCTCCGTGTCCGTCTTGCGGCGCTTTGCTTCATCAGTGATCTCCGTTTGCGGCCTTTTGAGCATGACCTGCAACTGCGACTGTTGCTCTGGTGTGAGATTTACACCGAGATTGGTGATGAAGCCTGCAACCGCTTCCGGCGCAGGGTCAGACATGGTTGCATCTGACTGGAGAGGAGTTGCGGTCGCCTCCGAATTGACCAAAGCCATGTAGGAGGCGCTGGTCTTGTTAAGTGCTGTCTGCTCTTGCTCAATCTTAGTCTGTATGGCTTTCATCTCATCCAGGAGTTCCTGATAGGCTCGTTTGGTGGCATCGATCTTGCCCTGGAGGTTGTGTTTCTTGTGTGACAAATCCTTCAAGGCAGTGACTTGCTGCTTGAGCCTTCCCGCGACTTCACGTTCAGAGGCGGGAGGTGGGGTCGTGATTTTCTCCACCAATTCCCGTACCGGAGTGGGAAGTTTGGTCAGGTTCTCCTTCAAGACATCCTGTAGGTCAGGTTCTTTGGGTTTGACCTCCGGGGAGATGCCCAAATCAGACAATTTCCCTCTCAACTGCTCATCAAGGGTTGACCAAATGGGTGCCAAAAGTTCAGTGGCATTCTTCTGGATCAGAGAAGGTTTTGGAAACCGTGTTCTTGCAAGTCCTGGAGGTGGCGAAGGCCGTCGATGTGGTGCTCGTTCCCATCGGGAGTTGCGTTTGTCGAGCTTCTTGGCATATCCACCTGGAGGCTTCGGCCATTCATTGCCACATTGCCTGCAAGAAAAACCTTGTTGGACGCGATCGCACCAAATCCAGTTTCTGCATCCATGAGCTTGGCAACATTGATAGGGCCTATATCTCGCTGTCTCCATGTAGGGATCGCAGGGGCCACCGTGGAAGGAGACGGAAGCGAGGTGGTAGAGGACGCGTAGAGCCCAGCGATGCCACCAGAGAAGCTTGAGCCAAACATATTGACATATATATATATTATATATATATATGTTATATGCATGTATATGTATGCATGTATATCAAAGGATGGAGGCACTAGGCTGTGTAATCATGTCCGAATCTACCTATACTCACTACATTGTACTACTATTCAATCTTCCAAAATCTATCGAGTTGTTCTTCAACCGTCATAACCAGGCCTTTGTTGCGACAAAGGGTGGATCCACCACAGAGATGAGTCCAGGCATGCGATCATAGAATGGAGAGACGAAGGGCTGAATTGCCTTTATCACCTCACCCCATGCAAAAGCGATGCAAAAAAAAACAATATGGTCACAAAGCCCTGCAAATCCGATGCAAACCAAAAGTGAGAGCTTTGTGATCACTCAGGCTATTCACTGTTCGGCAACTTAATGTAGAAAACAAATACACCAGTGACTGAGAACAGTCCGCAAATGTTTTGCTGAGAGAAAAAAACTCTAGCAACAAAACTGTTTCGTGTTTCTTACCAGTACATACCTTGCAGGCTCTCCCTTTTTGGAATGTCTCAGACTCCGTGAGCCATCCTCCTTCCAAGCCGAGGGCCGGGCCGCAAGCATGCATTTCGCGCATGTGAGCCAGTTTGCCATACTCAATTGAGAAGAGTCCACCACTACGCCTTAAGGAAACAAAACTAGGCAAGAACAAAAAACTAACAGTATCTTATGTCGAAACATTAACAGTATCCTATGTCGAAACTATGATAAGTATTGCACTTGACGGCCAAAGCCTGAATAAGAGTATTAAAAAAAAGCTCGCTGTGACTCACTCCACGAAACCCACCAACTGCCCAATGAATTGCAACTGGACTAAGCATACAAAATGTCTGACTCGAATTGCCGTCCCAGGAAACATCCACAGCCCTCAACAAACGTACAACCAACAAAGTAGTTTGCGCAAATCCGCTGCAAGTTCCAACAACAACCTGGTGAGCCCTGCCGATCTCATGTGTGCTTTGTTCCCCACATTGACGTGTGGGGCGTCGCCCTGGGGCTCCGCCGCTGTGCTGCTGTGATTTGCGTGGCAGGCGCAGCACTTGGTGGTATCCAGGGGTCGGATGTACGCCCTGGCATCGCCATGCAAGGCCTGTGGCTTCAAAACCTGCAACTGCTGCTGAGTACGTGACGTCTATTGTGCTTTAGATTGTGCTTTTGCAACTCAAAGGTTGCGGTGGTTCTGTCCAAGAAGTGCTACTTCTGTCACGGTCCGTTTCAGGTGGGAGTTTGTTAAACAAAGCTTGTCGCTGCAAACCTCTAATCGTATGGATCCACAAGCCACTCGCGTCAAGTTCATGCAGTGAGTCATCACCAGATCAGTCACCCGACCAGTTCCAGAACATGTGACCTGGACTTGATCCTGGTCTACGTAGATTTTTACTACTAACTAACAACTCCTTTAGCCCTCTGATGAATAGGCAGAGTAAAAGCAGTAGCAGTAACTTTAACAGTAAGAAGAACAGAATAACCACATGACAACAGTAGTAGTAGCAGCAGCAGTAGTAGGAGTAGGAGTAGTAGGAGTCGTAGTAGTGGTAGCGGTAGTAGTAGTAGTAGTAGAAGTAGTAGTAGTAGTAGTAGCAGTAGTAGTAGTAGTATCCTTTGCTGCTCATGATGATTGGAACTACAGTATGCCATATGCTATGTTGTTTGTGGACCATGCTGAGGTTTTTCAATCTGCTGGCAAGTTTCTCATTCTAAACATGTTCTTCCTCACGTGCGGCTTCCTAGGCATCGGCAAGATGTTGTGACTCCCAATGCTACACAAACATTCCTGAGAATCCAATGGAGTAGTTCAGGGAGCGGCCACGGCCACTGTGGCAATATGGTCAGTCTCTCCAACACAAGCAGTGCAGTGCACCTTTGCCTTTGACCTGGAGGCATCCAAGAATCTCCTACTGCTTGCTCTGCCTAGTCTGCCAAGCGGCGTCCAGCCGATTGACTTCGCAACGCTATCCAGGCCGCACAGCCTGCAACATTGTCAAACTGAGGCCTGGCGGCCCTGATCTCTTCAGTGTTTGACTTGCTCTTGTTGTATAAAAACCCAATCTATGCGTATGTCAACACACAACACAGTATGCATACTTCCTCTGGAGTGTCAGCCTGGGCATTGTAAAACGCTGGCACAATTGCAACAGGACCACAAAATGTGTCTTGTTTCCAAGGTTGCACTGTGACTATGACTATGACCATTATCGCACACTTTCCGGTCTTCTGTTGGAACACCAGGGCAAATTGAAGGACACAAACGTGCTTCATGACAATGGCAAACGTGCCCTCTTGAGACAATGTGGCGTTTCTGATGTTCAATTGGAGACATTTATGAAATGAAAGCCTCAAGATTGCAGGAGAGCCATAACCTTTCACCAAGTGGCGTCTGCTGAGCGAGTACTTGTGCATCTCTCTGAGTCATGTGCCTTCAATTCGCAGTGGCCATCTCTTGAGAGCAAAGCTGATAGAGTCGTTGATACAAGTGCCACGGCTGACCAGTGATTTGAGCAAACAAATGCATCTGGAACTTTGGGTTCAGGTTTCAACTCTGCCAATGCACAACTTTTTCGGCCAAGGTGCTCATCTCCAATTCTGACAAAAAGGACCTCACGATGATCACCATCTTGCCCAGCCTCAGGACGCTTCTGTCTCCTCCTTTCCCGCCTCACTTCCTGTACCCCTCCTGGACTCCCTCCTGGCCGTGAAGGAACCCGTCAAACCGTATCCTAGACTAGACTCCATTCACCCGCCCGAACACGTAGGCTTGCACATAGAGATTTATTTCAGATCCTTCCTCAGATCTTCTCCTAAGTCCCAAACATAGCTGTTTTTCATTCGGCCGGCGGAGATTAGGGCACCCCGGAAACTGACACTGGGCAAGTAAAATTGCTAGGTGTCTACTGCCGATACGTCACACGTACCTCCCGATAAGGTATATAGGCAGTATAGGGTCCAAGGGTCACGCAGTTAAATTGGTGTTGTACACCATGCAGGGCATCCTTTTCCGTCAAACTTGCTGCTATTTATATACTATACTGTATATATACACACTTTCTTGTTTTGTTTTAAATGCAGTTGTTTCATGTTCATGTTTGTTGCTTCTTAGACTCTTAGATACTTGGCTTATCATCATCGTTGTTGTCTGAACAGTCGGAGCTCCAGGCTAATTCACCACAAGTAGTGGCAAACATACATGAGGGTTTGAGTAAGTTTCCAACTAACAACACAAATCCATATATATATATATATTATATTAATTATATCCGCCGACCCCGGTCGAAGAAGGGGGAGCGCGCAAGGGAATACCGTCATTTAGGGGTCAGACACAGACGCGGCGCGGAAGCAGCGTTTGGCTTCGAAAGTCAGCTGCAGTGGCGGCTGCCGACACAGTGGGGCTGCGGCCTGTTGAACGCTGCAGCTGCGGCCACGAGGCCCGGAGAGGAGACATGTCTCTTTCTCTGTTTTTTTCTAAGGGTCAGACACAGACGCGGTGCGGAAGCAGCGTCTGGTTTCGAAAGTCCGCCCCCGGCAGGGATTGTTGACAGCTGCAGTGGCGGCTGCCGACGCAGTGGGGATGCGGCTTGTTGAACGGTGCAGCTGCGGCCCACTGAGGCCCGGAGAGGAGAAAAAAGCCACATGTCTCTTATCTCTTATCTCTTATTATTATCTCTTACTCTTATTTTGTTGGGGGTTCAGACGCAGCGTTTGGCCGCGAAAGTCCGCCCCCGCAAACGCTCCCCGGCAGCGGGAGGGAAGAAAACGTCGTAGGTTTGTAGGGATGCTGGCTGCCGCCTGCTGACAGCTGCAGTTGTGGCTGCCGACGCAGTGGGGCTGCGGCCTGTTGAACGCTGCAGCTGCGGCCCACTGAGGCCCGGAGAGGAGAAAAAAGCCACATGTCTCTTATTTTTTTTGGGTTCAGACGCAGCGTTTGGCCCCGAAAGTCCGCCCCCGCAAACGCTCCCCGGCAGCGGCAGGGAAGAAACTGCCGCCTGCTGACAGCTGCAGTTGCGGCTGCCGACGCAGTGGGGCTGCGGCCTGTTGAACGCTGAAAAAGCCACATGTCTCTTATTTTATTGGGGGTTCAGACGCAGCGTTTGGCCCCGAAAGTCCGCCCCCGCAAACGCTCACCGGCAGCGGCAGGGAAGAAAACGTCGTAGGTTTGTAGGGACGCTGGCTGCCGCCTGCTGACAGCTGCAGTTGCTGCTGGCGACGCAGTGGGGCTGCGGCCTGTTCAACGCAGCAGCTGCGGCCCATTGAGGCCCCGGCAGCGGCAGGGAAGAAAACGTCGTAGGTTTGTAGGGATGCTGGCTGCCGCCTGCTGACAGCTGCCGTTGTGGCTGCCGACGCAGTGGGGCTGCGGCCTGTTGAACGCTGCAGCTGCGGCCCACTGAGGCCCGGAGAGGAGAAAAAAGCCACATGTCTCTTAGTCTCTTATTATCTCTTATTTTTATATTATATTTTTTGGGGGGTTCAGAAACAGCGTTTGGCTCCGAAAGTCCGCCCCCGCAAACGCTCCGCGGCAGCCGCAGGGAAGAAAACGGCGTAGGTTTGTAGGGATGCTGGCTGCCGCCTGCTGACAGCTGCAGTTGCGGCTGCCGACGCAGTGGGGCTGCGGCCTGTTGAACGCTGCAGCTGCAGTCCACTGAGGCCCGGAGAGGAGAAAAAAGCCGAAAGTGCGACCATGGGAGGCTCGTTTTGGACCAGAATTAGATGGGGAAAAGCTGTGGCGTGACCAGGTGTTCGAGACTAAGCTGCGCAAGAAAAAGGGAGAAACATTGGAGAAAACTATCTTTGTTCTATAAGGATCCAGAAGCAGCGTTTGGCACCGAAAGTGCGACCATGAGAGGCTCGTTTTGGACCAGAATTAGATGGG